TGCCCTTTGTTTTAGAATTGTTGTAAGGGTTAAATGAGATGAAATATGCACAGTACCTAGAGCAATGCCAGGAATTTAGATATTACTTTCTTTCACTTGTAAGACTGCTTTCTAGTTTTTCTTTCTTTAGGATGACAGATGTTAATTTTCCCATCATTTTCCTGTGATTTATTCATGTTACTATAATCAACCTTCAGTGTGAAGATTCCATTGTGGTGCTATATTTTGTTCAACTGAATTAACAATAAAATTAGAAGATGACTTTTTACAAAGATGATATTGTTTTTATACTAATGTTAATGTAATGAAAATGGTTTTGCATCATTTAATCATAAAAATTTTAACTATGCCTTGAACTTTTAAAAAAGAGTTTTTAATCATTTTAAGACAGTTAATCCAGTTAGGCACAAATGGTATCTGTTAGTTTCTCAAAATTTATTATAATTTGGATAGATCACGAGAATAGTTTGGGAAAATGAACACAATTATAATAGCTTAGGTGCTAGGTGTTATTTCAGATGCCTCATTCATTCATTCATTCATTCATTCTTTGGTAACTGTAATAAGTACTGTGCTAGGTGCTAGAGCTGTAATGGTGAAGAAATGTATCAGTTATTTATTGCTGCATAATGAACTTCCCCAGGATGTAGTGACAGAAACACTGTATCATCTCTGTGAGTCAGGAATTTGAGTGCAGCATTGCCAGGCTGTCTGGTTACGGGTCTCTCTGAGGTTGCTTGCCAAAACTGTAAACCGAATTTATATTGTAGTTAGTTTACATTGACCGTGTTAACCAAAATTGATCAAAGCCTGAGTTTATAAACTTTGTAATCTTCAAAGTAAAGAGGAAGGAGCTGGGTGTATTGTTTTGTTGCTCTTTTCTTGCTTAAGTCCTGATGATGTCTTTGGTCTAAATGAACCTGGCTGTTCTGCCCAAACCTGCATTCTTGGTGAGAATGGTTATAGGTCAAATGCTGTAATCTTTATCTTACTAGATAGAAGCGTTTGTATGTTGACCTTGGTAATGCACTGTAATTCTCTTCATTGTATAGCTAACACTTACCTGATGCTGACCAATGCCAGACACTATTCTGAACTCTTTTATGTATATTAGCACATTTAATTCTCAAAACAAGCCTGTGGCAAAAAAAAAAAAACAAAAACAAAAACAAAAACAAAAAACAAACAACTACCCTTCCCCTTTTTACAGATTGTCCTTCTCTTTTGGTATCAAGTGTGATAACTGGTTGTAGAACTTAGCTAAAATCTCCAAGGTCTGACCAGCACGAGTGGTTTGTACCCAGTGGGGGTTCAGAGAGCAGTCCTCTTTCAAGAAGCAAATATGTCAGTCACACAGCCTTAGCAGCAGCCCCCTCCTGGGGGAAAACCAAGTTTTGCCTGGGTTGTCACAGTGCCTAATACAAAGGTACCTAAAAAAGCTACCTGGAAGTTGTCCTAGACATCTTTCTCCCCCTTTTTTAATTTTTTATTTTTTATTTATTTTTTTAATCTTTATTTATTTTTGAGAGACAGCATGTGAGCAGCTGAGGAGCAGAGAGAGAGGGAGACACAGAATCTGAAGCAGGCTCCAGGCTCTGAGCTGTCAGCACAGAGCCCGACGCAGGGCTTGAACTCACAGACCTTGAGATCGTGACCTGAGTTGGACACTCAACTGACTGAGCCACCCAGGCACCCACACGTCTTTCTCCCCTTAATTCCTCACGTCCGGTCTTAAGTCCTGTTGTTATACCAACACATTGTTTCCCTTCATTAGTCCCCTCTTCTCTGTGCCCATTGGCTAGGTTCAAGGTGTTAATCTCCAGTCTGACCTGTTTTCATTCATGGCCCTGCATTGTTCTTCATATCTCTTCATTATTTTGTCGTAGTTCTTTGCAAGTTGTAGGCTTTACTAGTTTTTTTTAAATAACAGATTTATTGAGATATAATCCACATTACTATGCAATTCACTCATTTTTAAAATATACAATTCAGTTAGAATATTTAGAATTGTACAACTATTGGGGCCCCTGGGTGGCTCAGTCGGTTAAGCGTCCAACTTCGGCTCAGGTCATGATCTCACGGTTTGTGAGTTCGAGCCCCGTGTCAGGCTCTGTGCTGACAGCTCGGAGCCTGGAGCCTGTTCACGATTCTGTGTCTCCTCTCTCTGCCCCTCCCCAACTTGTGCTCTATGTCTCTCAAAAAACAAATGTAAAAAAATTAAAAAATTTTAAAAAAAGAATTGTACAGCTAACATCCCCAAGAGAAGTTCTGTACTCATGAGCAGTCACTCATTTCCCCATACCTCCAGACCTAGGCAGCTGCTAATCTACTTTTCACCTCAAGAGTCTTGTCTGTTCTGGACATTTCATATAAATGGAATCCCAAAACGTGTTTTTTATGACTGAAGTCTTTTGCTTGACATAAAGTTCTCAGTGTTCATAGAGGTTACATGTTAGCCCTGTGTTCAGCCCAGGGACTTTTACCACAAAATGTCCTTCTTGAGTTGTTCCTCATAAAGCACAGCCTTGCATATGTGTATGGTGTTCAGGACCACCAGGGATTATTGTGGTTTTAGTTGTATTCTCTTTGCACCTCCACCCTCCATATCCTGCTAAGATTCTGACTATCCTCTGTCAGTGTCAGCCCAGCGGTTGGCCTTCACCAATTCCTGGCTGTGATTAGTTTCCTAGGGCTACCATAACAAATTACCACAAACTGGATGGCTTAAGACAACCAAAGTATATTGTCTCACAGTCCTTAAGTCCACAAGTCCAAACTCAGGGTATCAGCCAGGCCATGCTCCCTCTGAAACCTGCAGGGGAAAATCCTCCTTGCCTTTGCTCGCTTCTTGTGTTTGCCAGTAAACGTTGGTATTCCATGGGTTATAAACACATCACTCCGAGCTCTGTCTGTGTCTTCACATGGCCATCTTCTCTCATGTGTCTGTGTCTTGACCTGCTCTTCTCCTCTGTGTGTGTGTCCAAATGCTCTCTTATAAGGACACCAGTCATATTGGATTGGGTTCCACTCTGATGACCTTATCATCAACTTGATTACCTCTGCAAAGGCCCTGTTTCCAAATGGGGTGACATTCACAGATGGGAGTTGGTTAGGACAAAAGCTTAACACAAGGTGAGCGCTCTTTCGTTTTCAGTAATGTTCTGGGACATAAATTTCTCCACATTCTGACCCAAAGAAAGTCAGGCTCCTTGGGCCAGGTAGGGTGCTGCCAGTCTTTGAGGCTTGTTCAGACCCTCTTCTAGGCTTAACTTTTGTACTGTGGATCAGGAGTTGGAGGGTGATGAGGAGTTTACTCTTTATCAGCTGTCCACCTGTATCTTCCCTGTGGAGCAGAAGGGGTGTGTGTGTGTGTGTGTGTGTGTGTGTGTGTGTGTGTGTGTGTGTAAGAGGCTGGAAAGTGATCCTGCCATTTAACATCAATTATCCATGGTCCAGATCTAGTAATAGGAGTTGGTAGTAACAAACAGGTGCTGCCTTGTAGCTCCCACCTTCTTCTTGTAGATCTTCTGCAGCCTAGTGCTGTGGGAGATGATACTTGCTCATGTCTACCAGCTGCCACATCCTCTAGGGATAGCTCTTCTACTCCAGGTATCTGTGGGAGATGTGAACTGCTACTCTGTTGATGAACCTACTAGAACAGCTCTTCTATAACACAGAGTTGCTGGGGGCACATGCAAGTTCTAGATGGAATGCTGTGGCATTCCACTATTATTACCAAGTGTCTGTAGATTTTATTTAGTAATACTTTGCAGTTTGTTGCAAGCTGTTTGATCAATCTCCAGAGACTGTGAATGTCTCTGCTGATTTTTGCAAGTTTAATAAATGTTGGGGTGGGCTGGGGGAGTTCTCTGAGCTCCTCATATGGCCATTCTAGAAAGTCTAACCCCTTGAGTAATTTTTAAAGCACTGTCTTTGAGGTAGGGTAGTGAGACAGACAGAAGATTGGAACAGCATATAGCTCTTGAGGGAATACAGGCCATAGAAAAATGATTTCCATTAGTGCTGATGTTATTTTTCAACATATTCAAGCATTGAAAAGTTTTAAAACTCTTTGTTAAAATGATTAAAATCATTCCTCATTTGATTTAGTAGCCCTTTTTTTGCACCTACACACAAAACACTGAAGAAAACATTTAAAGATAAATGATTAGAGAAGAATGTTAATAAAATTTCGTTTCAATAACTAAAACTATTCCTGGAATATTTAATGAGCTAATTATGTAAGCTAAGTCTTCATTTTGTTGGAAGCTGAAATTTTTCATAATGAACTTATTATAGCACATCTCTTTCATGGGTATTTATTTGATGTAAATGTCACCATCTGGGCTGTAATTTTTTTTTTAATTTTACTCAGTTAGTTGAAAGGGCCAGCAAGATATCTTGAAAGCTTTTTAAAACTCTAAATGTATTTATGTGGGGTTAGCATTCTTACAGTGATTAGTTTTAACTTGAGCTGAGTTCTCCAGTTAGAGATTGGTAAAACTTGAAGCTGGTATAGCTTGTGTTATTTCTCTTGGACCAAAGTGCTGCTTTTTAGACTGGGAAATCACTTAGAAACTAATCACAGGGTATTCTTTTTAGTGTTTTCTGTGAAGCTTTGTAGGCTTTGTATCTTATTTTGTAGGACTGTAACTACGTCTCTGTATACATTCTCTAATGCTTTTTTATTAGAATTTTAAGGGATGTTTCAAACCTTAGAGTTTAGTTAGTCCTACCCTACCAATTTTAGTGAAGTAACTGAAGTCCTCAGAGATTATGTAACTTTCTAAGCATCAGAATTTGATATTACACAAATATAACTGTAAAGGCAAGAACAAAATTGTAACACTTCCTGGACGCTTGGGTGGCTCAGTTGGTTAAGCATCCAACATTGGCTCAGGTCATGATCTTGCGGTTTGTGAGTATGAGCCCCTCGTCAGCCTCTGTGCTGACAGCTCAGAGCCTGGAGCCTGCTTCAGATTCTGTGTCTCCCTCTCTCTCTGCCCCTCCCTGTTTGTACTCTGTCTCTCTCTGTCTCAAAAAGAAATAAACATTAAAAAAAATTATAACACTTCAAAAAATCTATGAAGCAATGTATAGTCATCTTCTTCCAGAAAGCTTTAGAAATAGCATATATTTCCCCCTGTAATCTAATATTATAATAATTATTTTGTTTAGCATTAATGTGGCATTTATATCAAATAACTTGGTTTTAGGCTTAACTAAGCCACAGACCCCTAAATTTTTTTTAGCAGAAAGCATTTTTTTCTCCTTTCTCAGTATTTATGTTTTAATAAAGCTAAAATATAGTCAGTATTAATGTAAATATATAAAATCTATATACCTCACTTTAGAAATTTTTTGAAACCATGAAATCAGAAATTAATGAACATCAATATTAATTAGGTCTGAAGAAATTATGATATACGGCTTTATTGCTATATAGTAAAAGAAGCTTTCTATATATTATATTTGATTCTCATAGCCCCCTTATGAAGGTAGGTTAGACAATAGACAACTTTTATTATTTCTGTTTTATAGGTGGAAAAACTGAGGTTTGGAGTTTAACTGGCCTAAATTTTATGACCTTAATAATTTACCTCTATAGTTACCTTTTTTTTTTTTTTTTTTTTTTGCATGTCACTTGGTCAGTCATGGTAGTATTTATTATCTTGTTTCTTCCAGGGAATGCAGAACTCTTGATGATCTTTATTCTTGAAAATTTAAGAGGAATAATCTGTCATTTGGCATGATCCCAAAGGTAGCACAAATGGAAGGAATGTAAGTTAAACTCTGAATGCCAGCGTTCCTTTCTTCCCACTTTTAGCAGACTCCTATCTTTCTCTCAGTTTTAGTTCAAATGACACCTCTGTGAAGCCTGCCTTTTTTTAAAGGAGACAAAAATCCTTTATTCCTATATACTTTATAGCACTTTCGTACTGCCTCATTTGGTACAAGTAGTATTTGTTGATACCATGATTGAGGTTTTTTTAAATGTTTGTTTATTTTTGAGAGAGAGAGAGAGAGAGAGACCATGCTCGTGCATGTGCCAGCAGGGTACCTCAGAGAGAGGGAGAGAGCGTATCCCAAGCATTCTCAAACTCACAAGGCTCGAACTCATGAACTGTAAGATCATGACCCGAGCCCAAATCAAGAGTTGGATGCTTAACTGACTGAGCCACCCAGGCTCAGGTGCTCCTGAGCTTCTTGAAGGCAAAAATTGTGATGTGCCTTTTCACTTCTCCAGGGCCTTGAATGAGCCATAGTGGAGCTTAGTAAATATTTTAAAAAATAAATGGGTGAATGAATACTGCAGGCTTGATATGTGTCTGTAAGCTGTATAAACCAAGCATTGTGTGCCCTCTGATCCTGGAGTAACTGTGAGTGTTGAATGCTTAACTACTTACTGCATGATGTTTTGTTGGTTTTTGCTGCATAAATATTCTGGAGTCTTCAGTTGGTGCCTGGGCCATTTTATTTCTGCTCCACTTCACCACTTAGGTTATTTGGGATCCGGATAGAATAGTTTTGTTGTAATGTTGCATTAGTTGAATCAGTGATTTTATTAAAAAGTATGGTTCAGTACATTTGATATTTTACAAAAATGAAATTTTGTTGATTGAGGTCTGTCATAATTTGTCTCTGTTTAAAAATAAAAATCTTGGGGCACTTGCCTGGCTCATTTGGTAGAGCATGCGACTCTTGATCTCAGGGTTGTGAGTTCAGACCTCATGTTGGGCATGGAGCCTACTTAAATAATAATAAATAAAAATAAAAATCTTAGCTTAACTCTTGACTATGCTGTAAGTGAATTTTAAAAAGACGAACTTCCTTCTAAATTAGGAAGTGAGTTTAAAGGTGGATATATCTAGAAGATCTGGTGAGGGTCTGATTAACAAGTTCCTCTGTTTTCAGGGTTTTTCTCCTTTCCTTCTAGTAACCACCTTCTGACAGTTTGGCGCTTTATTAGCTGTAATACCTGAGAGTGGAATAGGAAATGAAGTTCACATGCTTCACTTTTGTTACTTGTTATGAGATTCCTTAAAGTTTAGGTGTGAAGAAGAATGAAAATAGTTATCCCTATTATTTCTGCCTCCCAATTATCATGGATAATGATGACTTATGTACGGTTGACTAAAATTGCATGAAAGAAAAGTAGTTAAGAAATGTTTCTTAAGATTTTTTCACACCTTTCTTTCAGGAAAAGTATTAAAAATTTAAAAAAGACCTAAATGGATTCAAATTATTTTTTTTTTATCTATGGTATTTTGTTTTGTTACATTTCACGTTCTATAATGAATAGTGGAATTGGGCTCAGTTGTGAATTACAGGAAATGGCACATATGATAAAGATTGTGGTTTTATGTCTATTCAACAAACCAAGGTGGAATTGAAATGAAACTGTAAATATTTTAGCAATACCAATTGCTTCTGTCATCAACCAGTACTAGTCCTAATGAAAACTAGATCTGCTGATGCAAAGTTAATGGGAAACAGGACAGAATAGGTCCTTATGTACTATTAGGCAAGCTTTAGTTTTTAGTCAGCTAGGCACATAATCATTTTGTTCATGGAGAATACAAATAGTAGAATACTTTTATTCTTTAAGAGTAGAATCAGCCACACAGTAGTGCTATCCTTTTTTTTTGTTTGTTTTCTTTGGGACAAGGATTTAGATTTAATAATAAAATGTGTATTGTATATAGCAAATATGCATAGAATAATAATATATTGAAAAGCAAATGAAAATAGTCACGTATATGCTCTGTCCACAATTTACATACCAGTCTGGGCTGGAGGTAGAAGATAAATCCTCTAGATTATTCAGCTACTAGGAGTATACCATATTTTCAGAAGGTTTTTCTTGAATAATGGTACTTACTAAGATTTTACTGTTAGAATTTGAACATATTTAGGTCCTTTCAGATTATATAGAGAACATTAAATTATGTTTAACAAGATAGCCCAGGTAGTTTCCATTCTTTTCCTTTTCTTGCATGTTTAAGTCCAGAACAATAGACTTATAAATTTAGCCATTATCCGAAGGAGTTTGAATGTTAGTTACTTGTACCTCCCAAAGCAGCTGTGAAAGACCTCTTGAGTTTGTTTGTTCATTTTTCAGCATGTAGGACTTGAAGGCTTAGTTTGTGCAAGGTAATGTGCTGCTGTGATAAATATGATAATGAATTTCCAACTCCCCCTGTATCATTGAGCTTCGAGTCCAGTAGAGGAGAGAGAATGGTGAGAGTAACTAGGGAGCCTGTATGTTTTGTTTTATGCCTCTCAACATGGCATAATTACTAATAGTATCCCCTTTCACATTCACATGTCCTGGTTTGGGTGACAAGTTACGTGGTCATGCTGTGAACAACTATATAAATATCAGCATTTAATTTAAGCATTTAGCCGAATTTAAGCATTAGGCTACTTCATATAAAGCATTATGGAAATTTAGAAGAGGGAAATATTGATTTAAGGCAGGGTGGGAAAAGAAGAAATGCCTTAAATTTGACACTTTTTCTTAATTCACAGTTAGGTGGCAAGGGACTGCCAGTTGGTTCTTGGAAATTCCCTAATGTAAAAGTAAGAATTTACTCTTTCATTTTTACTTTTTATAGCTATGTGTTTGTAAATTGCAATCTAAAAAAAGAGAAAAGCACCAATTTCAGTGCTTTTTCTGTTTTTATTTTCTTTTTTGAGAGTATCCCTTTGAGCAGCTGCTGAGATTTTTATATTTTTAAGTTGTTTTAGGTTAAAAGAGGAACATTGAAGAAGTGTTTTTCCCTTGATGTTTCTAAATGACTTAATCTTACTAAGAATATTGATTATTAAGTGAGAAAAAGGTTACAATTAATGTCAGGTATCTTCTAAAAAACAGTTGGAGGCTGTATATAGTTTTGGGCATGAGAAATTTTCCAGAATCCTCAAAATGGCAGATAAAGTTTAATCTGCAATACAAAATCTAATCTACTGTTACTGCTTTTCTCCCACTGTTGTCCACTCCATTTCACTAATGAGAAACTCTTTAAGCAGCCTTATAACTGAGGGAAATGCTTGTAAAAGCCAGTACAGATAAGATTGCTTATTGTACTTAGAGCCAGGTTTATTTGTGGTTTTGATTAATATTGGAGACTGTCAGGAAGTTATTTTGGAATTGCTTTTTCTGTTCTTTTAGACAGTGATGGTATATGACTTCATTCTCCTTTTTTCCTCTTGTCAGGACCAATATGAGTGCCTGGTGAAACACTTATTATCTCTTCTTGGCCGCACATACCAGAAAAACAATCACTAGAGAATACTTGAGCAAGCAACATTTTATAGAATTGTTTGGTGGGCATCAGGAAGATGGTAGGTCAAGGGACCATGCTGCTGGTTGGAGTCTGTCTCGCTGAAGTCTTGAAAAACCAGTGAAGACCTAAAATAATAGGATGTATTCTGATTAAATAAGCCAAAAACTCTAACTTTGTTTCATCAACTCTGGGAAGACTGTACAAAATCTTATAGACCAGTGACACCTTATACAGTTCTGAAAAAAAGCATTGTAAGGTTCAGATAAAACTTTTGTGTGCAAATTTTAGGAGTTGGTGTGGTCTAGGAGCTTGTGAAGATGAAGTGTTTCACGTTCTGATTTCATGAAATGTTCCATATTTCTTTTAATCTTAATGTAGGATGATGGGATATGCACACTTCTTATTTAACAGTGATTACTGTATGTAATAACTAACTCATCTGCTTACCATAAACATGGGACAGTGGTTACAATAAAGATATTGAGTAGATCAGTTGTAGTTTTTTTTTTAAGGAAAAGATCTAATGTGAAAAGGAATGCCGCATTTCAGAATAATTTGGTTCAATAACAAAGAGAAGAAAAATAAAGCATTTCAGTAATCTTGACAGGGAAATTTACTAATTGGTGAAACAAAAGATAAGATTCATTGATTTCTAAAAGTATCTTTTACTTCTGTGTCTTTGAGTCTGTGACATAGACTCTGCTGTCATTTAGCTAACATGTCTCGGTCTCAGTAGTCTTTTACACATGTGCTCTCTAAATTGAACAAAACATCCCTATTTAAGCTGTTGTCCTTTTATCCCAGCATCTTATTTGCTGTAGCAGATGTTGGTTTCTCTTGAGAAATGACAAAATAATTATCAAAATAATGTTTTGTGAACATTTTATTGTTTAATCATATGAAAATTAAGGTAGGAATTCATAGATAATAGGTATTTTATATTTTATAATAGGAAATTCTACTTAAGCTTAAAAGTCGAAATTTCAATAATATATTGAAACGTCAGACCAACTAGGCAAGTATTTATGGAAAGGTATTTATGGAAAAGTGAGTGTGGTCCTCAGAATGGGCATCAAGAGATGTCCCTTGAATGAATGGTGGATCCATTTTACCTGTTGCCTTGGGGGATGAAATTGCACATTTTCTTGCTGTAGTTTGTCTTGCGTTTGTTGAAAACAGTTAAAAAGCAAATGCAGAGTTTGTATTTTGCCAAAGTGCGAGGCAGAATAGTAGGCAGAAAATTGGTATGTAGGCGGGCAAAAGGGTAGATTCTCTGCCAAATGGCTTTAGATGAGTTGATGCAAGGAATTTCAATATTAGGCTTTGATGAGAGATTGTTGAATTTCCTCAGTGTTGTTTCCTTTGGTGTGCAAGCTAATTAGACAACAACTAATTGGAGCCAGTGGCTCAGACAGCTTGTATCTATTGGCACGAATGCTGGAGGGTGTGGCGCAGTTGGCTTTATTGCTGACTAGGAAGACTTCCATCAAGGCTCAGCTGTGATCATGTCTGCAGATCTCTCCATCCCTCTTATAGAGACCTTTGCCTTAAATGGGCCATTAGTAACAAGGGATGTTCCAAGAGATGTTCATAACTTTGTATGTGGTGTTGATGCAATTTATACTTATCCCTCCTAAGGTGATTTGGCAGTCTCAAAGCTCTACCACTCTAGAAAAATGGAGAGATTCCCTTATTTGGCAAGAATAAAAATTATTACAAAGCATCTTGCTTCTGCATTAAGTGGTAGCTTACAAGAGAGTAGCTGATCTTAATCTTAATCATGCATAAAAATACCCAGGTATCTTGTTAAAAATTTACATTCTGGTGGCACCCCTCCATAAATTCTAATGTAGTAGGTGTGTAATGAAACACTGTAGAAATGGCCCTTTCCCCAGCTTACCTAGAATGGAGACTGTCTCCTAAAATATTCAGAAGCCAGGGGCGCCTGGGTGGCGCAGTCGGTTAAGCGTCCGACTTCAGCCAGGTCACGATCTCGCGGTCCGTGAGTTCGAGCCCCGCGTCGGGCTCTGGGCTGATGGCTCAGAGCCTGGAGCCTGTTTCCGATTCTGTGTCTCCCTCTCTCTCTGCCCCTCCCCCGTTCATGCTCTGTCTCTCTCTGTCCCAAAAATAAATAAACGTTGAAAAAAAAAATTTAAAATATTCAGAAGCCAGAAATGATTTTAATACCCAAAGTGTTTATAAACAAATTTGGTCTGTAAACATGTCATTCAGAGCTGAACTTAGTATCCACCTTTCACAGCTCTAAATACCATACTTTCAATTATATGAGCTCATTAGTTTCTGTTAGTACACTTCTAGGCTTTTAGCAGCGGGAGTTTGAAGGAGCTTTTTCCTTATTGTATAGAATTAAACACTGAAAAGGAATCCTCAAATATACATTTATTCTGTGTTGCTGGTGAGGATACATTTATCCTGCAGGAGTGGATGATAACTGTCTTTATTTAAAACTTTGACACATAATAAGTACATAAAAGATTATGTTGATACAGCCCTGTAGTCCTTATTATATATTGAATAGTGCACACATTATAAGGCATTGGGATTTGGGTGTCTCTTAATTGAGCCTTTTGGGTTTGGATAAGGCAGAGTACCTTCCCTATAGGTACAGGGAGAAAATCCAGATGACCCCGTCATTGTCCAGGAGCTTTATGCATCATGATTGGACTAGATAAATGATTTAGGATTCTAAAATGCTGTATTCAGCTGTAGTATTCAGATACTATTCAACTGTATCTGTTTACTTAGTTCCTTCTAAGATCAAACCAAATTAGCATCCTAACCTCAGAAAACATATTCAAGGTTATATAGTTCTGCCCAAAGAACTAATTTATTCTTCCTCAATAAGAAAACATAAGATAAGCAAGGACTTACTGTGATTGAAAAATGTTAGAATAGCATTGTTACACAACTTATTTCTAGTTATCTTTTTATAATTCTGTAACACCTAGGCAGTTTATTCATGTAATTGATAGGTTGGTTGGCCACCGTGTAATCCAGTTAGTATTTACTTGTGATTTTCAAAGTGGAACATATTAACTTGAGGAAATTTTTGGCAAATATGTTTAGACAGTAATTTCTTTGAAGATTTTTCATATCCACTTTATCCTTGGGTATCATATACAAGAATTAAACATCTTAATGATTTTGTTTTGTTAAGAATTAAAAAAGAAGGGGCGCCTGGGTGGCTCAGTTAGTTAAGCATCTGACTTTGGCTCAGGTCATGATCTCACAGTTGGTGAGTTTGAGCCCCACGTCAGGCTCTGTGCTGACAGCTCGGAGCCTGGGGCTTGCTTCAGATTCTGTGTCTCCCTCTCCTTTTGCCCCTCTCCCACTCACGCTCTCTCTCCTTTCTCTCAAAAATAAACATTAAAAAAAAAAGAAAAGAATTAAAAAATAAAGAGAAAATCAGCACAATTAAAAAGTCCTTTCAAAACTTGTTTAGATGACACCTGTTTAAAGGAAAAGTTGTTGTCTCTTTAGTTTTTTCAAATAGTGATAGAACTTGGTAATATTTATTGATTAGCTTTGTGTGAGTCACTGTGCTAAGCTCTCCTTCTGTCCTTAACACTGATTATGAAAGAAGTTAATCCCTTAAGTATGTACCTATTTCATTATATTGGCTTTTTAAACTAAACTTTCTAGTTTCAGATAATTACAGATTTAGATATAGCCATAAGAAAAAAACACAGAGATTCCTTGAACCCTTCACTCAATTTTTCACCTGTGTAACATCTTGTATAAGTATAGAGCAGTTAACACAACTGTGATGTTGATGATGCCACCAACTGTATTTAGACTTCATTAACGTGCACTTATTTGTGTATTTCGTTCTGTAACATTTTAGCACATGTGTAAATTCATGTAAATACTGTCACAGCAAAGATCTGTAGAACTGTTCCATCATTGCCAAAAATCTCTCATAATACCCTCTTATAAGCTGCAGCCATTAACCGTTCTGTTATTTGAAGGATGTTCTATAAGATGAAATTATACACTAAGTTACCTTCGAGATTGGCTTTTCTTATTCAGCATAACTCCCTTGAGATATATTTAAATAATTGTGTGTATTAATAGTCTTTTTTTTAATACCTAGTGCTAGTTCATGTTGTGGCTGTAGCACAGTCTGTTTAACTCTTCACCTCTTGAAGGACATTTGAGTTATTTTCTCTTTGGGGCTTTTACAAATAAAGCTGCTGTGAACATTCATGTATATATTTTGGTTTTTTTTTTTATTTTTTTAATGTTTATTTATTTTTGAGACAGAGAGAGACAGAGCATGAACGGGGGAGGGTCAGAGAGAGAGGGAGACACAGAATCTGAAACAGGCTCCAGGCTCTGAGCAGTCGGCACAGAGCCTGACGCGGGGCTCGAACTCACGGACTGCAAGATTGTGACCTGAGCCGAAGTCGGCCGCTCAACCGACTGAGCCACCCAGGTGCCCCTTTGTATATATTTTGTGTAAACGTACTTTTCATTTATCTGGGTTGTATGGTCAAGAGATAGGTACTATGGTAAGTACATGTTTAGTTTTTTTTTTTTTTTTTTCAACGTTTATTTATTTTTGGGACAGAGAGAGACAGAGCATGAACAGGGGAGGGGCAGAGAGAGAGGGAGACACAGAATCGGAAACAGGCTCCAGGCTCTGAGCCATCAGCCCAGAGCCCGACGCGGGGCTCGAACTCACGGACCGCGAGATCGTGACCTGGCTGAAGTCGGACACTTAACCGACTGTGCCACCCAGGCGCCCCAGTACATGTTTAGTTTTATAAGAAACTGCCGAACTATTTTCTAGAGTGGCTATACCATTTTACATTTCTGCCAGCTATGTATCCAGTTGCTCTGCATCCTTACTAGCATTTTATCTTGTCAGTATTTTTTCGTTTAGCCATTCTGATAGGTATGTAGTGATATTGCATTATGGGCATAATTTGCATTTCATTTTGCTAATGAACTTGACATCTTTTAATGTATTTATTTGTCATCTGTGTGTACATCCTCTTGAAGCGTTTCATTATGATTTTGCCCATTTTTAAAATGTTTTTTTAAAAAGTTTATTTTTGAGAGTGAGAACACTAGTGAACAGCAAGTGCACAAGTGGGGGAGGGTTAGACAAAGAGGGTGAGAGATAATCCCAAGCAGGACGCGAGGCTCAGTCTCACCAGTATGTGAGATCATGGCCTGAGCCGAAGCTTAGAGTTGAAAACTTAACCAGTTGAGCCATCCAGGTGCCCTGATTTTGCCCACTTTCTTTTCTTTTTTTTTTTAAGTTTATTTTTTGAGAGAGAGAGAGAGAGAGCGCATGCGCGCGCGCGCACACACAAGTGGGTGAGGGGCAGAGAGAGAGGGAGAGAGAGAATCCCAGGCAGGCTCTGTACTGTCAGCGCAGAGTCCGATGTGTGAGGCTCGATCTCACCAATCTGTGAGATCATGGCCTGAGCCGAAACCTGGAGTTGAACGCTTAACCAGCT